TACAGTAAAGTAGGTAGAATAGAATTAATAGCAAGTAAACTTTCTTTAAGATATCTCTTTATACTAATTCAAAATTTAAAGAAGAATTTCTTGTCATTATCCAATTTGTCTTTCTATGCAAAGTGTTATTCTTGTTAAGTATCTTTTAGACCATGTTCAAACTTTCTTCACCAATATAGAAATGCTCTTATCAATTCATAGTCACTAAAAAATCAATGTAAAAAGCAGTAAAGTCAATAATGAATCCTAGTATCCTACATACATATACTTTATATTGCTGGATGATTTTGCATCTATACTTGTAAACAAATTCCCAATTCTAGCCACATTTAACATATGTAATTATGTATTGCATTTTACATTTTGCATTTTGTTGTCTCCATGATAGCCACAAAAGAGAAGGAAACAAACAAAGGCAAGGTAAAATGGTAAATCCCATAGCCCTAGGTCTATGTGCATCCAGGAAAATTCAGTTACAAACCATTGATTAGAAGATAAGGAAAATTCTAAATAATTAGAATGTTTTCTGGTTAGAAAAATATAGTTACTAACCAAAACCACAAGCACAAGGGAATCAATGAGTAGTATCACCAACAAGTATTATTTGATTGTAGCAACATACAAACTTTTCAGCAACTTCAGCATACATCATCCATAGCTTTATATCAATAATAATTATAACTGAGAGCTCTTTACCAACCAGTTTGACTTATTAACTTCTTACATGTCTACACAAATTTGCATTCTTTCAGAGCAATTGTTATAAAAAAATGGAGAAGGAACCTTATTACATACCAAATTTTACAATTAAGATTTTTTTTAAAAAGTCCATCTTCTATATCAACTGTTAGGGTAGTGTGAAAATCATTCAAGAACAAGTATAATTAACTAATTTGTCTTTTGCATGAGATAATAATTGTATAAGCAGAAAGCTAAAGCCTAAGCTTATGCATATCTCAAGGGTTAATCTTTGGGGATTTCTTCATGTTAAACTAATGATGCTACATAAGATGGCACTTTCATACCATGATAGCTTCACGACAGCTTCACCATTTCTTTACCAGCCATGTAACAAATTGATGAAGAAAGTAAAATAATTGCTGCAAAAAATGGAAAGCCAGAAGCATCAAAGCTAAAACCAATTAACCATTTTGCATGAAGTAATTTTGTACCACTAAAAAAGCTAAAAGCTAGACAGAGCTTTTTACCACCAGCCATTCCAAAAAAAACCCAAAATTAAAGAGATGTCAGAGATGCATTTGAACATTTTGTTATAAACTAACCAGATTCAATAGGCAAAGCTCCTAATTTCTCATATAAACTTAATCAAGACTAATAAATTGAATTATACTGAAGAATCCCTTTGTCTCTAACTTTGTTATGAACTGAATATTATAATGGTACAACTAATATGCATTTAGAAGTATATTTAGATTCTAATAAATTAAAACAAAGGTGGTACGCAAATACAACTATTCATGTGGGTATCATTTAGCTAAACCCAAGAATACTGAACCTTTCTAAAATCTCAATTATCTTAGCAAATGATGCTATGCCCTGAAAATTATAGGTCAAAACTATGTCATGCTACTCTAGCCTACAAACCCAATACAGGTCAATACTCTATATGCTCATTTCTATGAAATAAAATCAGCATGCATTATAAGAAAGCTCAACTGAAACTAATCTCAAAAAAATAAAAATAAAAATAAATAAATATCCTATATTTTAGGTCCTTGAGAGCATCAACCACTTTGGCACTACCATTAACTTGACATGAATTTCATTGGATTGAATAGGATCATCCTATAGATTATAGGCACAGATCATTTCCTCTTATTTGATTCGTCTAGCTTCTTCAGATTCCAGGGTAGTTGGTGCTAACATTTCTACACAGAGAATTACATCTTCCATCTTTTCAATGAAAACAAACCTAAACCATTTGAATTAACATATCTAATTTCAAGTGAGAAAGGATGATCAAGATGTAAGAGATTTGAAAAAATAAACAATAGCTGCAAAAAAATTTGTTAAAACTCGTAGCTTATTCTTAAGAATAATCGTTTTGAAAACACAATTTCTTAAAATAAATCACTAACTCCTCAGCTTTGATTTGAGAACTCTGATTCTCTAGGCAAGTTTGAAGTCTCAACAATGGGAACTGGGAAATACATTACATTAAAAACACCAAATGTTCCTTGAGAATTAGAGAATTACAATGCAGCAAATTTCAATTTCTCTAAAATGTAACATCCAAGGTGCTACAAAACTAAATGGCAACATTTAGACATCTCTCTAGTTTGCACTTTCATTTCTTAAGTAAATATTATTCTTTGTGACATTAACTCAAATAGTTGATGCTCATTAGCATCTGAAATCTCAAATCAATTCAAAAATCAGAGACCCATTTTGAACTACAGTACCAAGAAAGCATGATAAACCCAAGTACATGAAAATGAAGAGACAAAAAAAAAAAGGCAAAGAAGACAAACCAAGCGGGTTATACACCCTGTTCTTGTCATCAATAGAATAAGAAGCTCGAATTGTCAAACGTAAAGATTGAGTCTTTGATTGAAGTAGCCTACAGAATAATTTCTTGAGTTACAATCCAAAGATAAAACCATAAATACAAAGGAAGTCTAATATGTGAAATTAGAGATAGAGAAATTCTAAAACAAAGAATGGTACCTTCAGACATATCATTACTCAATACAATGTTGATTCCTTTGACACATTCATCATCTTCATCTGTAAATATACAAAATTAATAAGACTGGAATGTTCTATAAACAAAAAAATGAATAAAAGAAATATTAAAAATAGATAAGATTCCAAGCATGTGGGATCTTTATCTTTTCCTTA